TTACTTAATAGGCCTTTTCTTATGCTTGTTTAAGGTGAAGGAGGAACTAAAGATAGGATAGGTCTTATCTAAGGCATTCTGAGAGAATGTGGAGAGCGGTGCCTTCTTATTGGAGATTTTATATATTCATTTATATAACATACATGTATTTTTATATGCATACATATATGTGTATATCTATATTTAAAAGGTCAGGCTGATATGCAAAATAAGAATTCACCAATGATACACTAACATTTCTGCCAAGAGAAAGATGTTTTGCTAATCATATTGCTTAATGCTCTTAGATATTGCAGTTGTCTTTTAAGAACAGCCCCTCTCAGGTCACTCCAAGAGCGAGCCTGACCTTGTGTCTAGGGCTTACCTAAGGCTTAAACCTGTTTTCATCCCCCAAATTTCATGTGCTTCTTCATAGATGGGGCTTCCTGGGGAATCTTCATCCTCCTTTCTTACACAGGGGAAATTTTCAGGATTGTTCTCATATGGGCAACACCATCACTTATGGGGAGAGTAGCTCCCATACCTGAACCCCTTACCCTCACTAGATCCATATCTTTGAACTGAAATATTAAAAAACCCCTCTAAAATATCCACCAAATTTAGCCACTCTACAGGAACAAATTAATCATCATTCTCATTACATGGACTAAGAAACTGGGACCTGAAACTAATCAAAATTTGTGAATTTTCTAAGTGGTGATAGCAAACTTCACAGAAATTAAGGCTAATGGACACAGTATATTTGGATGTCATTGATACAGAGGTGACACTTAAAATCATAAGTCTTAATTTGATCACATAGACTCATAGGATCTTTTTTTTTTGATGCAGTCAGGGTCAAGTGACTTGCTCAGGGTCACACAGCTAGTTAGTGTCTGAGGCCAGATTTGAACACAGGTCCTCCTGACTCCAGTGTCAAAATGCTATCCATTGCACCACCTAACTGCCCTTGATTCATAGGATCTTAAAGCTAGAAGGCTCCTTACAAATTACCTAGCTCTAACCTGGAGAGAAATTCAATTTAATTCAATTAAATTCAACAAGCATTTTTCAAGCATCTTCTCTATGCAAAGCACTGTGCTAGGTTTCCCAGGTACAACAGACAAAAATGAAATAGTCTCTGTCCTCACGGGACATACACTCTTCTGCTAAAGGAAACAACATGTATGCAGATAAGTACATGCAAAGTACAAAGTAATGCAAAGTAACTTCAAGAGAGAGTAGCAACACCTGAGACCTCATTTAGAAAATGGCACCCAAACTGTGCTTGAAAAGACAGATGAATAAAGGTAAAGATAATGCACACCAGCGATCAGGAGAAGAAAAAAAGGAGAATTTATAGAGGAGAGACAAGAGGGAGGAAAAACAAGGTGGGGTGGTAGAGAAAGCACGGGAAAAATAATTGGAGGAGACCTTAGGATATTTACAAAGTCAGACAGATGAGCAGAAGTAGAAAACAATAATATTGGGCTCCATTTCTACCAATAGAAAGGTGATTTGCCAACTCTTCAGGTATAATGCTTATTAATGCCATTGTCTCTCCAGGTCAGGCCCCTGGGGTCAGGATGAGACTAAGTGTGGGACTTGGCCAGGGACCAAATAAGTGTTGGCCCCAGAGAATCATGTATATGTTCCTTACCAGACAGGGCCTCTATTCTCTTCAACCTAGTGCTTCAAACACCAGTGAATTTTGAAATCCTAATGTGGACAATTTTAGGCAGAAAAAAGTTAACTGATACTCTGAATCTTGGAATCAGTCTGAACTTGGGCTAATAATGGAACCTGCTTCCTCAACCCTACCCTTCCCCCTTTAATAATTGATTTCCTAGCCTCAAATCTACCTTTAGACTCAAGTCCCTATGTGTTAATCTCTCAAAAAATCAATGCCTGGCTTTGTTTTCATGTTCTGACCTTCAGAATTTGTCTGTCTTTAAAGTATTGATTTTGGCTGGGCCTTTCTTATTACAACCTAAGACCCACTTATGACAATAAAGGCATCAAGGGCCATTTGTTTTTGGGAAACATAGGGCCTGGGGTCGAACACTAACTCTGCTTCTTATGACCTATATGATTGCGAGCAATTCGTTTACCATCTTTGGGCACTAGTTTCATCACGGATAAAGTGAGGGGTTAGAGTCCCAGGGGTGGGGAACCTGAGGCCTCAAGGCCATATGTTTTACAGAACAAATCCTTTTATTAAGGGGATTTGTTCTGTGAAGTTTGGATTCAGTCAAAGGGCCGCACTTGAGGACCTAGAGGGCCACATGTGGCCTTGAGGCCTCAGGTTCCTCACTCCTGTGCCATTAGACTATATATTCTCTAAGATCCTTTTCAGTTCTAAATCTATTGATGCTATGAGTTGGATTACCACACCCTGCATAAGGTTTCCCTTGTGACAATGTATTTTACGGTCCAGTCAAAGGCTGATAACCCCAACATTATCATTAAGGATATAAGATACAACATTTAGTACTCTTCAAAGCTGTAGAGACCTATTTGTGGGGTCTGAGAATACCTTACAACTTCTAAGAAAGAATATACATGCAATTGGCCAGTGTAGCAGGGGCTTAAAGGGTGATAGGTATTATTTTTCCCTCATGGGCAAAATTTTTTTTTTTTAAGTAGAAAATGTCAGTAGACAGGAAAATAAAAGTCTTTTAAGAATTGTGAAACATTTTCAGGTCAAAAAATTTAAAATTTTCCATGCTATCCGAATGTTAAGGTCATTTATTATTCATCCTTGTTTCTAAAAGTACACATGCCAGAGATAAGGAAGCAGCCTTTGTTGGGTGTTGCCAGCATACTTGTGGTTCCCAGATGCCCAATTCCCTATCTGGTTTCCTGCCTTGGTCCCTTATTCTTCCCTGGTGCTTGGCATCTGGCCTTGGCCTCAGAGCCAGCAGGATGTTGTGGGCAGAACACTGGACATGGAGTCAGGAAAACCTAGGTTTGAATTTTACCTCAGATACTTGCTAACTTGGCAAGTAACTTCACCTTTCTGAGCTCAGTTTCCTCACTATAAAATGGAATCATAATACCTACTTCATCGCTTTGTTGAAAGGCACAGATGAGATAATGTTTGTAAAGTGCTTTGTGAACCCTGAAGGCTATATAAATGTATGTTGTCATTATTGCTAGTTTTGTCCATGTAGTCTCAACTCAGTCCTAGGCAAAGTTACTCGACTTCTCAAACTGCTAAACAGAACTAGGCCTTTGGATGGGGGTGATTTGAAAGCCACTTTGGTCACTTGAAAGTGGCCGCTATGAACCAGAGAGAATTAGGGAAGGGCTGGTGAGGAAAGACAATTTTCTTCACTGGAACACCATCCAAATCATTCCTTGACAGACAACATCTGAACACGGTAGTCCTGGGGTCTTGGGGGGAGGGGTTTTAGGGAACAGGATAGGTTAGAGTAAAAGACACATACAGTTTCCGTGTTTGTTTCATCTCCTCTGATGCACAGTCTTATAGTTTTATGATCAGAACCTAGAGGGGGACCTCAAAGGTCATTGAATTCAGCTTCCTTATTTTATAGATGCGGAAACAGAGTCCTAGCGTGCCCAAGGTGCCCAATATCACACTGCTCATAAATTTCTAAAGTGGTGTTCAGACCTGGGTCTTCCTAATTATAAGTTCAATGTTTTTCCCACTGTGCTACTCTGTGCTCTTTAAAGCTACTATTCTGCCCTTACAAGTACTAACAAGGATGAACTGGTAGCTCAGTGGCTTGAGCACTAGCCATAGAAACAGAAAGACCTAAGTTCAAATATTTCCTCAGATACTATTTATTTGGGTGATCCTGGACAAGTCACTTTACCTCTGTCTGCTTTAAGTTTCCTCAACTGTAAAATGGAGATAATAATAGCACCTACTTCGGATATTTGTAAATGTGCTTAGCACGGTGCCTGGCACATTATTGACTGACTGATTAACAGTTGGTAAAGCAATTGTCTTACTACCCCCCCATCTTCTGCAGGACTGGATATATTTTACAATGGAAGCACCTGGTTGAGTATGGTCTTTGTTGTTTTAGTGCTTCTAAGTTAATGTTTCTTCTTTTCCTTCTCTCATGATCCTAGGCCCTATTAAGGTAGAAGGTGGGACTGTTGAAACAGGGACCAATCCTGAAAAAGAGATTGGAGTCCTCATGCCACATGGTGTTGTGGATAGAGAACACTGAACTTTGACTTAGGATGTCCTGGGTTTACATTCTGCCTCAGATGCTAGATCTATGACTATCACAGGTTTGTTGTTGTTGTTCAGTCATATCCTACTCTTTGTGATCCCATTTGGGGTTTTCTTGGCAAAGATACTGGAGTGGTTTGCCATTTCCTTCTCATTTTACAGATGAAGAAAACTGAGGCAAACAGGCTTAAGTGATTTGCCCAGGATCACACAGCTAGTAAGCGTCTGAGGCCAGATTTGAACTCTGGTCTTTCTGACTCTAGGCCCAGTACCCTATCCATTTTGCCACCTAACTGCCCATATCACAAATTATTCAACCTTTATAAACCTCAGTTGCCTTGTCTGCTAAATGAGGAGGTTGGGACAGATGACCCTTAAGGTCCCTTCCAGCTCTAAGCAGATTCGAGCATCATATAAGAAATCTAAGAATTAGAGCTATCCCAAAACAGCATGGGCTTCCCCAGGGTGGATAGTGGTCTTTAAGGCAATTGGATGATCCTTTTTTTTGAGATGTAGAGGAGACTCTTGTTCAAGGATGACGCTTCCAACTCTGGAGACTCTGTAGCTCTTTTCAGGGGAAAAAAAGTATAAGGTTGAAAGATAGGTTGGATCCACCAGAAAAAAAAAAGCAGGGCTTTCTTACTTGCTTAAGTTTATTGGAAGGAAAGAATTTAAATTTCTTGACATCAGGGATTGGTTCTTTCTTTACAGTGTATCTTCAATCCTTATCTGCTTCTGTTGTTTTTTTTTTTTTGGTTTTATTTTGTTTTGGGAAAGAGGCAAAAAAGGTACAGAGGAGGAGAAGGAAGGGGGAGGAGCCCACACAAGAGATAAACATTTTGATACAACTTGCCAGGAATTAGTGGAAACTAGTATTTGAGAGAGTGTCAAAGAGGACTGACTTCACCTACCAAGCCAATACCGTTATCCTCCAAGGCAAGAACCAATGGCCAGGCTCTTGCAGATTCCCCTGCTCCTGCTAACTACCCTGTCCTTGGTGACACAGGCCCAGGAAAATCAGGAGGTATGGAGAAAATTCATTGATATTGAGCAGGACCATGCGTTTTTCCCAGAGACCCTTCAATTTGCCATACAGCAGTACAACAAGGACAGCAATGACGAGTACCTCTACCAGATGACCCAGCTGATTCGAGCCCAGGAGCAGGTCAGTCACTCTCTGTGTCCCAGTACCCCCACTGCTTCTACGAAGTTAGGGTGAGAAGCCTTCCCTGATATTGAAGGTGACCCACTCAGAAAGGGTCATTTTCCAGTCTTCTTCAAGTAAAAAGAAATTGTTAAACCTTTTTGAGAAAAGAAAAGTTTTTATTTTATCAGATGTTTATTCAGGAACGGAGGATGTTATCAAAGAAAAACAACCAATAAGTGTTTTCTTAAAAAAATATATTACAATTGCACATTATAGCACTGGGAGAGACAATATTAAACAGAGAAGAGAAAAGGGAGAAATCTAGAAAGGATGAGTAAGGTGGAGGCAGAAAACCAGACAGAGGGTAAAGGAAAAGAATTGCTCCAAGAAGTGTTCAGTGGTGTTCATGAGGTGAGCTTTAGTGACACAGATCACTCATTTCACACCCAGATGTTCACTTAAGCTTTTTCTTGTAGAATCCTGGGATCATACTGTAAGAGCCAGAAGGGACTTCAGATGCCACTTAATCCAACCTTTTCATTTTACAGATAAGGAAACTGAGATCCAGAAAGGTAAAGTGATTTGCCTCAAGTCATACAGCTGGTAAATGGCAGAGTGGAACGTAGCCTCCTCAGTCAGTGGCCTTCCCTCTCCCTCTCCTCACCACTTTGAGCTTTCTCTGTTTTCAGGTTATTTTCAGAATTTTTTTCAGAAAATAGTCCCTGTTTTCAGTGCTTCTATTTCTCTTAATTCTTAATCTTTTAGAGGTCTTCTTGAAATGGGATAGCAAGGCTAATGGTGAGGTTTTGAAGGGGCGGGGGGGAAAGAGACAAGAGGCAGGAAGAATTGTTCTGCAGGATGTAATCAGTAACCACAGCAATATTGCCCACGAAGGGCAAAGTTGTGGGCCAGGCTGGATGCATTTCCAATCAGAAGCACTAGAAGAGAATGTAGGAGGTTGGAGAAAAATCCTGAATCAGCTTCCTGGTCCTCTTTGTTCTGTTGCACCACCACCACCACTACCACCACCATCATTATCCTCCCTCCCTTTTGTCTTTCCTCCTTCCTTTAACCCCATCTCCCCATATCGGCCTTTACTGCAGGGTTGCTGCCTCTCCTGTGGTGAGAGGTTAACTTAAAGGTAGATTGCATTTGCTATCGCAATTCCCATGCTCAGTTCTGGAACTTGAAGCCTCTAGAAGCTTGGCTCTACCACTTTGCTATGTGTGGGACCTCCTACTAGGTGGGCTTTCTAAAAATAAATTTTTATTGATGTCTTTTGTTTTTCATATCATCATTTTCCTCAATACCCCTTTCTCTTCCTGCTCCCAGGGAGCCATGCCATATAACAAATAGTATTTTTAAAGACAAAAAAATGTTAGAAAGAAAAAATAAGAGGAAAAAAAATCATCACAACTGATCAATACATCAAAAAAGTCTGAAAATATGCACAATGTACAACATCTATGGAGATCCTATTTCCATGAAGGGGTGGGCATAGGAGAGAGGGTTGTCCTCATATCTTTTCATTTGAGTCATCTTGATTTTTATAATGTTGCTATAATTACTTTTGTTTTATTTGTGTGGAGTTCTTTCCATTTTCATTGTTGTAAGTATTGTGTATATTGTTTCCTTGGCTCTACATACTTCACTTTGCCTCAGTTCATTTGGATTTCCCCCATACTCCTCTGTATTCATCACATATATCATTTCTTATAGCACAGTAATATTCCATTACATTCATACATCACAATTTTCTTAGCCCCAGTTGATGGGCATCTACTATGTTACTAATTTTTTTGCTGTCACAAAAAGTGCTGCCATAAATATTTTGGTGTATATGAAAACTTTACTGCTTACTAATGTCTTCAAGGAGGAGTTCTTAACGTGGGGTCCATGAATTCATTTTAAAAATTTTGATAAAAATATTTCTATGGAATTGGTGTAATCATATACATATGTGTGTGTGTGTGTGTGTGTGTGTGTGTGTGTGTGTATATATACACACACACATAATTTATATATTATAGGTCACCTATGTGGTGCAGCAGTTATGAGTGCCAGGCTTTGAGTCAGGAAAAGTTGGAGGCAGGAGATCAGAGAAGACTTCATGGAAGAAATGATGCTGGATCTGAACTTTGAAAGAAAAGAAAGATGCTGAAAGATATGGATAATAAGTATATATATTCCATGCTTAAGGGTCAGTCTGTGAGGCAGCATGAGGGCAAGAGAGTTCAGGATAAGTTCAAGAAAAACCAGTAGTCATTTCCTTGGAATGTTGGGTGCCTGAAGGAGGAGTTGGGTGAAGGAATGTGGGAGAGAAATACTGAAGCAAGATTGTGGAAGATCTTAAACACCAAATTAAATAGCCATTTATTTCATAGAATCACAGGATTTGAGAGTTAGGAGGGGCTACATCAGCATAGAGAATAATAACTCATTCATATCAGGAAGCTTCCCCATGACATACTCAACAAGTGATTATCAGTCTCTGCTTGAAGACCTCCAAGGAGGGAACACTTAACACCTCTGCATTCTACTTTGGGACAGCTATTATTGTTAGGAAGGTTTTTCCTGACATCAAGTATTATTTTTTTTTCTTTTTGGCCATTTCCACCCTTTTTGTTTCTGGTTCTGCTCTCTAGGGTCAAACAGACTATGACAGCCCTTCAAATAAATGAAGACAGCTATAATTTCCCCTCTAAATTTTCTCATCTCCAGCTTAAATATTTTCAGACATTAACAAGATTATTTTGGCAACTATGTGAAAAATGGATTGGAGAAGGAATCAGACTGACAAAAGGGAGACCAGTCATAAAACTATTAAAATATTACAGACAAAAGGTTCATGATGAACTCAAGTAGGATGATTCCAATGTTTGTGGAAAGAATGGTGGGTGGGGAGGAAGGGGAGGGAAGGAAAGAATTTAGAACAGAAAATATTTTTTAAAAGAGGTCATTAGTGACTTTGAAGTAACAGTTTCAGTAGAGTGATGGGGATGGACACCAGATTGGTGGGAGGGGAGGGGGTGGAGGGAGGGAGAGAATTTGGAACTTAAAATATGTATTTTTTAAAATAGGTCATTGGTGACTTTGAAGTAGCAGTTTCTGAAGAGTGATGGGGATGGACACCAGATTCTGGGAAGTGAAAAATAAGTGGGTGGAGGAAAATGAAGTATTTTAATAAGTTCAGCAAAAAGGGGAAGGAGAATTATAGAATAATAGCTGAAAATGATAGAAGCAGGATTAGGTGATATGTCCAGAATCCATTTGAAGAAAATCATTTCTCAAAGTTAATAGAAAAGGGACTTTTAGAATAAAAATCCCGTTTTCTAAGATCAAGTGAAGGATGTTTGAAGATTTATTTAAGGAATAGGTAGGTGGCCTAATGGATAGAATGCTGGGCCTGAAGATACGAAGACCTAAATTCATATCCAGCTTCAGACACTTACTAGCTAGGTGATCCTGGGAAGACTTAACCCGTCTGCCTGTTTCCCCATCTATAAAATGGGGATAATAACATCCCTTACCTCCTAAGGTTGTGAAGACAAAATAAGATATGTGTCAAGAGCTTTGTAAACCTTAAAGCAAAATCTTAAAACTATATAAATGCTCATTATCACTATTATTTTGTTCCATAGTAAAACAAAAATAAAAAACAAAAAACCCTCTAATTGTTCAGCAGGTCCCACTACTATACAATTTGGGGGCATATGGTCTGTGGTAGTTATAGAAAATTCAAATTTTTAAGATTAGGGAAGATCTCAACACGTTCATAGGCAATAGAGAAAGGCCCAGTCAAAACAGTACAACTTAAGATGAGAGAGAAAAGAGATAATATAATTAAGTATTAAGTACTAAGTTGAAACTTATCTTCAATTGAGAAGTAATTCAAAGGTTTGGACCTCTCCATGAAAACAAATAAATCTAAGTACACTGTCAGTCACCCACTCTAATGAAGAGCAATGTTGTATGTGGTCCAAATTTTTTTTTAAAAAATGTCTGTTGGATTTTGCAGCAGCATTGTTTTTTTAGCAGCAGACTTATCCTGCTAATTATGGCTTGTTCTGAACAATTTCCACAATAAGATCTCTTTGAATTTTTTAAATCCTCACCAACTAATGCCTGAGATAAATGAACCAGAAGGACACTGGATGGAAGGGGGAAACCAAGTTAGGACTAACCATTAGACTGTAAGGTATCTCAAGGAAGAAAATCCTAGGATTTGAGGACTAGAAGGGACCTTAGCAATCATCAAGTCCAGGAAATTGAGACACAGAAATACAAAGTGACTTACTGGGGTTATAAAATGTTAGAGGAAAGTTGTGAACCCAAGTCTTCCTGAATTCACAAACAATGATGTAGTCACTGTACCAATGGTTCTCAAACTTTTCTATAGTGATACAACCCTCCAATTTAAACAAAACTTTGACTGAATCCCCTGCCAAATCCTCTAAAATTATTGTTTCTAATGCTATACATGGCCTTAAGGCCACAGGTGCCCTACCCCGGTAGACTTAAGAAAATTATGGAGAAAATGTTAATAATGCAGATTAAACTTAAAAGTGTTTTTGTGGGGACTTTTTTTTTTAAAGAAAGTGAGTTGTTAAACATTCACCAGCATACTGATGCATATATACGTATATGTTATGTATAGGATAGATGACATTAATGTAATATTAATAGCATTATATGAATATATGACATATTAATATATTATGTTATATTGGTACATCATATATGACATATAATTATGCTATTAAAGACCAAGCTTCTTTTTTAAAAATTGTATTTATTTTATTCTGAACTTAAGAAGTAAAACAAGCATTTTCCACAACATAGTAGAATAGAAAAAAAAGATGATTGCATATAAAACTGCAGCTCTATTATGTACAACTTGCTCTTCCTTTTGATATATCATCTATAATATATAATATATAACTATAATAAAGTTATCGTGTAACTTTCTTTTTTTCCCTTTTTTCCCTACTCCCTAGAGATGGCTTCTTGAAGCAATCTGTTCTGTTTCCTTTTTGAATTTCTCCTAGTATCTAGCACATTTCTTTGCATTCAGCAGGAAATCAGTAAATGTTTGTTGAATTACTTCAGGTGGACTAGTCTTATTTAACCAGTTAGACTCTAAATCTATCAAGGGTAAATCTCAATATCTAATATTTCTTTTGTATTCCTTAGAGTGCCCATTGGAAATTCATATCTGAAGCTGATCCAATTATGCGGGCACCCTTTGAGCTCCCGGTAACATTTCCATATAAGTGAACTCTAGTGAAGATGAATATTAAAGGCAATTCTATCAACAAAAAATATGTCATAGCCATTAGAAAAAGTGGTAGCAGTGTTGCCAGAGAAACAAAGCAGTCATGGAAGGAAAAGCAGGAGCAGGTGAAGGTGGGGTGGTGATTAGAGTTATGTCAACCTGGAAGCTTGGTTAAAGAGGCAACAATCTAGGTGATATATAATTATATTGTTTATTCCCTTAAGCTAGTGAACATATACATGTACATGGAGTCAAGCTTTAATTCTTACTTCAGCAATTTATATTCTTAGAGCAATTCCAATTCAGGATGTCTATGTCACTCAAATTTATGGTCTTGATATATGGTTAACCATAGCACGAGAAAGGAATTTTCTTAGTTGAATAGCTTGTAAATACAACAGGTTAAGAGAATTGACAAAGTATCAGTTGAAATTACAATCTAGGACATCTGTGTTTCTTCTATCACTAACATAATATAACATAGTATATGTCCATAAAATATTAAGCTAAGAAAAATCCCATTATTCAAGACAATGTCTGGTCCTAGGCATCCAGCCTTAGTGGCCTTAAACAGAAAAATGTTCTTGGTCAGCTTCATCTGGCCTTGTGTTGTTTACACAGGAAAGGGCTTTTTAAGTTTACTCAGAGAACAAAGAAAAGCATGTTTGTTAGGCCAGTATAATTCTTCTGGTTGATTAGTTCAAACTTTGGCCCTTATTGGGGCTGAATGATCTTGAATGATTATCAGTTGTTACCAGAAATCTAGTCCCAGTTTCATGCTTGTTGCCATGATGACAGTACTGGAAGAGAGAAAAGGTATTTTATGTCAATTCTATATAAGCCTATTTTATTTTTGGGGTAACCCATAACACAAGGCTCCCCAGTGACTTCTGGGCTCACTCCCTAGGAGAAGGTCTGATACTGTGAGATGACCCCAAGAGGATCAGTATCTCTTTGGTTTATGGTCCCACACAGACCACTACAGGAAAATATTTAATGTACTCATGATATGACTCATGTTTAGGTTTCCCCAAATGTGGAGAAAGGGATCCCTTAAATACCACATCACACTTAAGGTATTAAATGCTTATTGGATATGGATCAGCCTTTTTAAAAAAAATCCCATCAGAAAATGCCTAAGATACAAAAGAATCATAGGAGTCCATGAATAGAACCTGAAATATATGAAGCTCTCAAGTATCATTAGTTCCCCACAGAAGAACAAGATTTTTATTGTTGTTCAGTTGTTCAGTCATGTCCTACTCTTTATGACCTCATGGACCATCCTGTTCATGAGTTTTTCTTGAAAAGGTTACTGGAGTGGTCTGCCATTTCTTTCTCTAGCAGATTAAAATAGAGGTTAAATGGCTTGCCCAAGGTCACTGGTCTCACTGATGCCAGGACCACTACTCTCTCCACTTTATTAGGGCAATACTTTGAGTCCCTCTTTCTCACAGAGCAATACATCTCTCCCAATAGACATCCATTTATAGTCCCACTCCATAGTTTAGGCTATTCTCAGAAAGTAAACATATTTTGGAGGCTGCTGAGTAAGCAATCGCCTTCTCACTGGCTTGGTGGGTATCTGAGTAACTCACTGACTTCACTCTCTGGAGCAGGAAGTCCCTTTTCCCAGAAATCTCAAATATGGTAAAAACAACTTTGAAAGAATTAAGAACTCTGATCAGCATAATGATCAACTAAGATTCTAGAGGACTAATGAAATACACTAACTACTTCCTGATAGGTGAAGGACTCGGAGTGCAGAAATGAATCTTTCCTTTCTTTCTTTCTTTCTTTCTTTCTTTCTTTCTTTCTTTCTTTCTTTCTTTCTTTCTTTCTTTCTTTCTTTCTTTCTTTCTTTCTTTCTTTCTTTCTTCTTTCTTTCTTTCTTTCTTTCTTTCTTTCTTTTTTTTGGATATGCCCAAAGTAGAAACTTGTTTTGCTTGACTATACATAGTTGCATGTATGTAATCAGTATTTTTCTTCTCTTGTTCTCATTTGAGGAGAGGGGTTTGGAGTGGGAAGATAAAAAGATGGATTTTTACTGATTGGAAAAGACACATTTTTTTCTATGTATTTTAATTTTTTAATAATTATTTGGCCCAATTGCATGTAAAAACAATTTTGAACATTCATTTTTAAAAATTTTGAGTTCCAAATTCTTTCCTTCCCTTCTCCTGTCCCTGAGATGGTAAGCAATTTGATACAGGTTATATATGTGTAATCATGAAAAACATTTCCCTATTAGTCACGTTGTGAAAGAAAACAGGGAAAAAAAACACAAAAAAATAAAGGAAGTGAAAAATAGTATGTTTCCATCTGCATTCAGACTCTGGATGTGGATAGCATTTTCCATCATGAGTCCTTTAGAATTGTCTTGGATCATTGAATAATACATATAATTTTTACAAAAGATTAAGTGTCTGAAGCAGAATTTAAATTTAAATGCTGCCTCCAAGCCCAGAGCTCTAGCTACTGTGCCAGGGGAAGAGTTAAATAAGACATCATCTACATTTCCTAGGTCACTGGGAGGCATGACTGATTTTTCGTCAGCCTTAGTCATTAGGATATGGTCCTAGTCTCTCAAACCTAACCAGTATGGTACTATTGGGTATGTTCACATGTCATGAAAAGGTACCTCTTAGTTGTTTTCAGGCAATGGTTCACACCCTGTAATATCAGGTTGATTGAGGAATTCTTCTGATCACTTGGTCACTTTACCAATCACTCCCTTTACAATAGTAACAGGTAAGAGTATGGAGTCCTTTTCTTCTGCCTGCCTACTGCTTCTATGAGTATTAGCTCCAGGACTGTTTTGGATGTAGTTTGTGGTCTCTCAAGGTGAAGGGTCCAGTCATCTCAATTTCCCATCTACAAGATATGGTCTTGGCCAAAACACCTAAAAGCACTATTATATGCTAGGTATTAATAATTATTGGTTGGCTGACCTATGAAAGACCTTGGCTGAGCCCAATAAATGACTTCCAATGGGTAATAGAGATGTGTGGAAATCTGTTCCAGAAGAGTAGGTCATGGGAAGAAGGGAGCCTCCAAGCTCCTAATAATCATCTCCTCTACCACTCCAACCTAGCCTTTTACCAAGAGATCTTAGGTATTTTGTGGCCTTGGTGTCTTTAAAACTACATGTTTACAATTGGTGAGACTCACTAGGGAAAAGGAGATTATGTTGAGTATAGTTTACTGTGAATCTTTTGTATTTTTTTTGCTTTTTGTCTGTGGAGTAAAATAAAGTCTGTCTTATTTCCGATATGTATTACTTTTTTGAGTGCTTACACAGGACCTGGTGACTCTTTTACAACCATGCAGACCCTATTGTTCTGTTGTTGTTCAGTCTTTTCATTCATGTCCATCTCTTTGTGACCCCATTTGGAGCTTTCTTGGCAAAGATACTAGAGTAGTTTGCCATTTCCTTCTCCAGATCATTTTACAAATGAGGAAACTGAGGCAGACAGAGTTAAGTGACTTGCCCAGGGTCATACACCTAGTGAGTATCTGAGGTTTTGAACTCAGGTCTTCTTGACTCCAGGCCTGGTGCTCTATCCACGGTACCATTTAGCTACTCCCTAGCAGATGCAAACACAGCTATATTCTGAGGTTCCCAAAGAAAACCCTTAATTGTGGCAAAAATGGAGAAAAAAATGCAATTTTTGGAGAATCCTCCAATCTAATCTATAAAAGCCCAGAGTTTGGTGCATGAGATTTACATATATAAGAAATAATAATAATGATAATAACTCTGTGCAATTGTTCACTAACAGCTGTCAAGGGGATTTGAGTACCTCGTAAACATGGAACTCAGCCGGACCATGTGTACAAAAGATGTAGGATTTGATCCTGATGACTGTGGCCTTCAAAAGGATCCAGAATTGTATAAGGTAAGAGACTAAAATCTACTTTGAATAATTAAAAATTCTTAGTCAGTCAACCAGCATTTATTAAGCACCTAGTAGGTGCTAGGCATTATGCAAAAATGTTTTTGAAGGAGAATATTTTTAGCTTGCGGCTTAGAAGAGGGCATAGGATCACCGGTATAGAGCTAGAAGGGATCTTAGAGGTCATTTAGTCTAACCCTCTCATTTTACAGATGAGGAAACTGAGGCCCAGAAAAGTTAAATGGCTTGTCCAATATTGAGACAGTCAGGATTTGAACAGAGGTCTCCTAACTCCAAATCTAATGCTCTTCTTTTGACTCAATTAAAGGAAAATCTCAAGATCAGAAACTGCTTGCGATGGGGGCATTATTTGACAAAGTTTCTGAAGCAACTGATGGTTCCAAACCAATTCCCCAGATGTGGTACTTACTGTGATAATGGGTAATGGTACCTAAGTTAAACTATCTGAATGAGGGGCATTATTCAAATCCTCCCTGAGCCATTACATCTGCTAAGGCAGGTGTCTTTATATTAGCTTTTTTTTCCTGCTTCTAAGTTTTCTCTTCTTTTTTTTTCTTCCCCAGGTAATCAACTGTACTTTTTTTATTTTTGCTGTGCCTTGGGATAGACAATACGAGCTGAGGAGCAGTAACTGTACTAACATTTAGCTGGGTTCCTATGGGGCGCTGCAGTTACAAGTTTTCTTCCCAGCTTCTACTATCTCCTTAAAAAGGAAGGAGAGCAGAAATTCATTGTTAAGCAAGCATAAGAGGAAAAAAAAAATCTTCTCAATACACTTTTGAGAACACCAATTGACTCTGCCTTTTCTTTGTGAGCTGCCTATCATCTCAGTTCATGGTGATAAGAATTTACAATCTTTAAACAAATCATAATAAAAGCAATAATAACTGACCACATACTTGATCAGAGCTTATAAATTCCCGGTTGTAAGAAACTCATATAAATTGATAATAGAGTTTATACAATACTTCAAGAGTTACAAAGTTCTTGGAAAATCTTTGATCTTTCAAACAACCCTGGGAGGTAGGTGCTGTCACTTTACAGATGAAAAAACTGAGTCAGACAAAGATTAAGTGACTTGCCCAGGGCTGCACAGCTAGTAATTTTGCAAGGCAAGATTTCAATTCGGGTGTCTCCCAACTCCAGGTCCAGTGCTCTATACACTATATCACCTAGCCTTTCAGCTTTTGAAAGAGAAGATAGTAGAGGGGAGGTAAAATTTTACAAAGGTAAGACCTAGTCATGACAGAGAACTGGAAGGACATTTTTGTTTACTCAACTACCTAGTTAAAATTCTTGACCCTCCTGTAACATCTCAGATAGGCATGTTTAAAGATTCGTAAAATCTCATAATTGGAAAGGACTTTTGTGGCTGGCCTAACCCAACTGATACTCAAAAAAGAATTCTAATTAAAATATGCACCCAAACTAGTTATTCAGCCTCTGCTTGATGACTTCCCATGAGAGAGAACCCACCATCACCAGAGGCATACCATTTCACTTTTGGTTAGGTCTTTTAGGAAGTTTACATTGAGTTCAAATATAAATGCCTCATTCTGACTTCTCATGGCCAAAGAAAACAGATCTAATCCCTCTTTTGAATAACAGCCTTTTGGGTACCTGAACATACTCATAAAATTCCCCTTTAGCCTTCTCTTCTGCAAGGTAAGCACCTCCAGTTCCTTAACTGATCCTCATATGGCATAGACTCAAGGCCCTTGACTATTTTGATGGCCCTCCCTCTGGCTGCTACCCAAAATGCCTTTCATAAACTGTGGTGCCCAAAGCTGAACAGAATACTTAGATGTGGTTTGACCAAGGCACATTATAGTAGGACTATTTCCTTCCTGTTCTAGGAAGCTATATTTCTTTCATAATATAGCCCAAAATCACATTAGATTTTTGGTAGCCATATCATACTTTTGGCTAAAACTGAATTTGCAGGATGCTAAAACCCTTAGATCTTTTTCAGATAAACTGCTGTCTCACCATAATTCTCCATTTTGTATTTGTGAAGTTGACTTATGGTGCTCATGTATAAAACTTCACATTTTCCCTATTAGATTTCCTCTTATTGAATTCATCCCACTCTTCTGGCCTATGAAGTTCTTTTTGAATCCTTACTCTCATCCCTCCAAATTTCATTTCAACTTCAAATTAGATATGGGCGTCCTCTATGTCTTTATCCAAGTCATTGATAATGTTGAACAGCATGAAGACAAATACAGATCCTCAACAGCACTCCACTGGGGCCCACCTTTCAAGTTTACATGGAACTATTAATGACTACACTTTGAGTCTAGCCCAGGGGTAGGAAAACTGTGACCCTCCAGGTCCTCAAGTGTGGCCCTTTGACTGAATCCAAACATTACAGAATAAATCTCCTTAATAAAAGGATTTGTTCTGTAAAACAGACTCAGTTAAGGCCACACCCAAGGACTAGAAGGCCACATGTAGCCTCGAGGCCACAAGTTCTCAACCCCCTGCTAGCCATTCAACCAGTTCCAATCCCTGTAATTATCCTATTATCTAGCCGCCATCTATTCAACTTTTGGACAAGAGATATTTTGTAAAACTTCCCTAAAACCCAAGTAAACTATGATGTCAATTTAGTAATCTCATTTAAAAAAGGAAAAAAAAAAGCTGGTCTAACAAGACCTATCCTTGATAAAACCATGTCCCTAAACTCTCCCTTCTTCTAGACTTTTCTATTACTGTCAAGGGCAGCTCCATCCTACCAGTTACCTAGAATCTCAACCTCAGTGTCACCTTTGACTCCTCTGTCATACTGAACATCCATAGCCAATCTGTTAACCAAGTCTTATCCTTTCTTCTTTCATATCTCTTGTATATGTCTTCTTTCCACTCATTACCCTGGTGCAGACCCTCAGTGACTCATTCCCATTAAAATAAGTAATAAAAAAAGTTTTAAAAAGTTAAAATAACTTTATTTTGTTGGTCTTCCAGCCTCAAATCTCTCACTACTACAATTCGTCCTCCATGCCACTGCCAGAGTGATTTCCCTAAAGCAGATTTTACCATGTAATCCCACTACTCAATAAACTCCAATAGCTCCCTATTACCTCCAGGATCAAATAGAAAATGCCCTGTTTGCCATTTAAAGACCCTGACAACCTGGCTCCTTCCTACCTTTCCAACCTTCTAACACTTTACCCCCCACCCAGTGTACACTATGATCCATCAATATTGTTTTTTTGGTTGTCTCTCAGCATCTCCGGACTCTCTGCCTTTTCACTTGCTATCTTGTCTGCCTGGAATGCTGTCCTTCCTCATTTCTACCTACTGGCTTCCCTGGCTCTCTTTAAAACTCAGTTCAAATCACTGATCTAAAGACTGAAGCTTCTGTCCTTTTCTTTTTTTTTGAAGATTATGCCACTCTCCATTTTAGTGGTACCTCTCCTGTTCTCTATGATCTTTCAGAGATTGTTTAACCACATCTGGCAAGTGTTGAAATCCCTGGAGCACAGTTTATCTGAGCAAGGTGACCTGAGTACATCAAAGGCAGATATGTTCCCACTCACTGGCTCCCCCTTCCCTTCCTTGGGCTTCAACTTCCTATTAGCCAATTTGGGGTGCTTATTTCCTAGTCCAAAGGTCATTCTCCTTTGCTGGGAAAACAGAAGCAAAATATAAATTGAGAAGCCCTGCCTTCTCTCTCTTTCTTGTGTTATCATTGTCCTGTCCACCCAGGAGCAGTGAGTCCTATCCCTTTTTTTGTCCTCCTCTGTTTCCTATTATTACTAAAACAAACAAACAATCTCCTGCCCTGCCATTTTGCAGTCCTTGGCTTTCCTTATCCCCCATCTCATTCTGAGTTGTAGTTTTACAGTATTTTTTTAGGATTTTCCCACACTGTGATTCCAGGTCTTTTCTCTCCTCCTCCCACTGGGCTCCCCCACTCTCCACCTGGACCTGAGCCCTGGGGGCCCTTATTGCTGTTTCAAAGGTTTGAGATTGTAAAGCCAGCACTGACTAGTCTGACTGTTGTTGTTGTTGAAGTACTTTTTTTTTTTAGTAATGAGGAATGGTTCCCTGTGGAGGGACTTGAGTGTAAATTTAAAAAAACACTTTTGCATAAGAAAATTTAGGTTTTGAACTGAGAGGGCACCAAACATGGCTTCCCTGAATCCAGGAGTGAAAATACATTATGCCAATGTGAGGGATGGGGGTGAGGTCAGTGTGATAGGATGCTGCCGGGAGCGAAAGTTGTTAGGCTGCTTTTTGTAGGAAGAGAGCCCACAAGGCAAACTTTTCTCCTTTCTGCCTCACAGGTCATTTGTGGTTCGTGTTTTAAAAATTCAGCTGCAGCGGAGAGGGTCTGCCTTGAAGTCAGAAAGACATGGCATCCATCCTGGCTCCAACACATACTACATGTGTGGCTCTGTTGTTTTTCAGTCATTTCTAGTCATGTCTGACTCTTTGTGACCCCATTTGGGGTTTTCTTGGCAAAGATATTGGAGTGGTTTGCCACTTCCTTCTGCAGCTCATTTTACAGATGAGGAAACTGAGGCAAACACAGTTAAGTGACTTGCCCAGAGTTGCACAGCTAGTAAGTGTCTGAGGCCAGATTTGAACTCATGAAGATGTCTTCCTGGCTCTATCCACTGCACCAGCTACCTGCTTACATGACCCTAGTTAAGTCATTTAACCTTTCAATACACCAATAATGCTAAGCCTATAAGTTACAGAAGAGTTGCGTTTGCATCCATGAAGAGTGCTCACACATACATAGATTATCACACTAATTAAATCACCAAAAAGCAAACAGAAAAAAGCTAATTAAAGAATCTGTTCTATTCTCTCTTCTGACCTCATTTTACAACCATATGCAGTGGGTAAGGCAGGTCAAATTTGTATTTGACATTTCCTATCATTTGATAGGCAAGTGAGCAGTGATGGGCTGGTAAATTATTTTTACAATTAACTCTCCAAAAAAAGAAATGTATCATGCCGCCATTTTAAGTTTAATCTGAATAATTAACATTTTCTCCTTCACTTTTAAAAGTCTAGACAATCAAGAAAACAAGAAATCAAGCCGGATTTCTAGCATCTGCTAACTAACTTCAGAGATGTAAATGGTCATACTGAAAAGCTAACAAGCATGCCTCTGTAACTGAGGCTCAGCTATATTAACTCATTATCTAAAAGTTAGTTAGTGGCAGTCCTAGGACTGAAATCCAGTTTTCCTGGCTCTCAGCATTGTGCTGCCTTTGGGGATCTGTCAGATGTGTCTAGTGGTGTGTGTATCAGGGCAAGGGAGTTGCAGCGGTGGGGGCCAGGGAGTCTGGGAAGTAGCTACCTACATTTCTGGGCCAACAGCTATACTGATAGAGTCCTTGAGGATATAGGGCCTCCATAAGGAAGTTGTTGTTCAATAGTTTAGTCATATTCAACTCTTTGTGACCCCATTTGGGGCTTTCTTGGCAGAGATCCTGGAGTGTTTTGACATTTCCTTCTCCAGCTCATTTTACAGATGAGGAAACTGAGGTAAAACAAAAAAGTTTAAGTGACTTTCTCAGGATCACACAGCTAGGAATTATCTGAGGCCAGATTTGAATTCACTAAGAAGAGTCTTCCTGACCCCAGGCCTGGCACTCTTTGTACTTCACTACCCAGCTGCCCACATGGCAATGACAAGGTAAGTCTTACTTTTTATATTCCAGGCAATGCTAAGCCTTTAAGTTCCAGAAGAGTTGTATTTGCATCCCTGCAGAGAGATCACACATACACACAGAGTTCCTCAAACTGATGAAATCAGCAAAAGACAAACAGAAAAAGCTTATTAAAGCATCAGTTTTAACTAGTGCCCCTTCTACAGGGCTAGGATCTGGGAAAGCAGAGCAGGAGATGCCACATGGTGAGCCTGAGCAGAGATTATCTATGGCCTTTAGGATAAAATATAAACTCCACGTCTGTTAGTAAAAACCCTCTACAATCTGGCTCCAACCTAGCTTCCCAGCTTCATTTCATGTTACTCCCTTTATCTATTACACTGCCCAGCTCAACTGTGCTACTAGCTAAAATCCACATTCCATTTCTTACCTCCATTCCTAGAATGGACTCCTTTTTCACCTCTGCAACTTTTCTGTAACTTATAGGCTCATTCACTTCCTTCAAAGCTTAGCTCCTGTGCCAGCTTTGATTGGAAGCTTTCCCTGCTTCAAACTAATGTTTGGTCTCTCTTCCTCTCTAAATAACCTTGTGTATAATTACCTGTGTTCATGCTCTGTCTTCCAAGTAGAGCATAAACTCCTCTTATTTTGTTTTTGTTTGTTTCTCAATCTAGAGTCTAATAGTAGATGCTATTATTATTTCCATTTTACTGTTAAGCAAACTGAGTCAAACAGAGGCTAAGTGACTTGCCCAGGGTCACACAGCCAGTAAGTATGTGAGGCTAGATTTGAACTCAGGTCTTTGGTCATTGTAAGAAATCTAAGTAAATAAATTCACTCTGATTATACACTGAAGAGATCTGATATACACTGACACCTAAGTTACTGCATTCTGAAGTCTAACCACTGCTGCCATTGAACTGAAAGGAGGTAGAAGGAAAGAATAAAGAATTTGGATTCTGTTTCCTTCTGAAAAAAAGAGAACAAACTATAAAAATGTGAAGTATAGTAGATTAAAGGGGACTATAAACCTTAGACAGGGCTGAGTCTCAGAATCTGATGGGGAGGGAAAAGTTTAATCATATAGGGTGTCAGGAGACTGTGGCAAATGGAATGGAAATGTGGCAGTTCCTAATAACTCCTTTGATGAAATTCACACCAAAATGTTACATATTCATGCTCAAGTCATTCTCATTGAATTTTTTATTTGCTTGGAGTATCCAGAGGAGTTTGAGAGAGTTTCCTTTCTAATGTTATTAGCCTGAGCTCTGACCGGTTGTGCCCAACCCCTACCTTCGGTACCAGCAACTAGCACCTCAGTTCTATTTAAACAATTAGCTTTTACAAAGTGGCATTTATCTTGAAGGTATAAAGAGGACAACTATACAAATATTTTCTCCCAAAATCTTGAAGGGATAATCTTTCCTATATCAACTTGGTTTCTGAGGAGAGTGGCTTCCCACATGGTACAGTTTCTACATAACATTGGTTCCACCAATTTCACGTTCAGATGCAGCGTGACTACCCTTTAGGTCCTCAACTCTCCTGCCACTAACCTGGGTTCCAAAAAGCACTTCTTGTTTCTTGGGGCATCAATGATGAGTTATCTATGAGGCCCCAATTCCAGGTCTTCAGGACATGCCAGGATGCCAGGATGGCAGAGATGGGCCCTCATGACCTTTTGAAACTCACAGGGTCAGAATCTCTAATTTCTTCCCCTAAAATGAAAAAGAACAAATGTCAAGGCAGAAAGACTGAGTCCCATTTTTTATGGGGCCATATTTCAGTCTCAGAGGGAAGAAGGCCTGATTTTTCACTGGATGTCATCAATAAAGGTATCAAAAGAGTGAGGAGCCAATCTGTATGGCTCTGGCCACTAGTCCATTTTGAATACACTTAGTTCCCAATCAATGGAAAAGGCTTCTCCTAACAGCATGGTTAGCAGACCAGAATGAGTTGCAGAATGTCTGCACCTGCCAAAATCTCTCCAAAACCTTTTGATTACATGTCATCACAGCCTCTCCCACAGGGTGAGACACATCAGAGATATTCTGAACACATGTCCTCGTTACAACAATATTCTCAAAATCACATTGTACTGTTCCTTGCTCCCCACCCTGACCACCTCCCAAAGAGTGCTGAATTTGGTTTGAATCTTGGCTCTACCATTTAATGCCTGTATGACCTTGGCTAGGTGACTTAACCTTTCTTGGCCTCAGTTTCCTTATCAGTAAAATTCTGAATTTGTAAAAAGATCACTTGAGATTCCTTCTAGCACTCAAGCTGAAGGCCATCTTCAGTTGTGCTGATCTAGATCTTGCCATCAGAGCCAGATGGCTCCAGAGGAGAAAGTGAGGCTGGTAACTTTGCACAGCCCTCCCTTACTTAAATCCAATTCACTTGCATGTCATGGTATCACCTCCCTGAAGTCATGGTCCTCTCCCAAGAATGAAGGAAAAAACAATAACAAGGCAAACAGAGATTAAGTGACTTGCACAGGGTCACATAGCTAGTAAGTGTCTGAGGCTGGATTTGAACTCAGATCTTCCTGACTCTGGGTCCAGCGCTCTATCCACTGAGTCACCTAGCTGCCTCCCGTAGAAGTTCATAGACTCCAGAAATGTCACGAGACTGCTTTTAGATGTGCTCTAGAAGTTTGACATTTCATTATTTAGACCATTTAAAGGGCACTATTGTTCCTGGACAGGTATGCCAATTTACTCTCTCATAAGACCCAATTATCCTTCTTACAATTTTCTGAGCCTTTGCTTTTTTAAAATTTTGGTATCTTCAGCATTTAGCATAGTGTTTGCCATCCAGTAAACATTTATTCATTCACCACACAATAAATGAACTGGCTGCAAAAGAAAGAAAAATTCCAAATACATATTTGACTATCAATTTCAGGTGATGTTTTCCCCTCTAACTGATTTTGAAAGATTACTCTAGGCCCAACAGGTTTCTGCTTTTAGTTTATTGAAGCAGTTCTCAAAGTATGGCTCAAGGACATTTGACAGTGCGGTCAAAATTATTTTCATAATAATACTAAGATGTTGTTTGCCTGTTAAAATACTCCTTTTTCTAACTACATAACTGTGTGAGGCTGGATTTTCTTCATATACTTCAAAGAAAAGAACATATCACCACAGATTAAACACAGAAGCAGATATGAGGATCCAGCTGTTTTTTATTAAGACAGAAATTAAGGAGATTTGCAAAAATATGTAAAACTACATCATCCTCATTAACTTTTTTTGTTTTAGAAAAATATAGTTATTTTTCAAAAAAAATGTTATTTATGCAACACATAATGGATTTATTGTTGCTATTTTAAAATGAATTAGTAAATGCACATTTTAACAATTTGTCCATTTGAATTTCTAATACGATAAATATAGAGAGCTATGCCTCACATAAACAAGACCTCTTTAGGACACTCAATAATTTTGAGAATGTAAAGAGATCTCGAAACCAAAAGGTTTGAGAACTTCTGGTGTATTGCATAAGGATTTAAAAACAATAGATCACAGTTTTTTAAACTGTCTAGAAACAACATAGCCCTGGATTTTTCTTCTCTTAGGCTGGCAGATGTGTGATGGGTTCCTCGTCTAACATACTTCAAAGGTAGCACAGAGTTGTCTGAGGATCAAATAAGAGAACTCAAAGCACTTTGCAAGCTTCTAGTTGCTAGGTAAATGTGAAGTAGAATTATTTTTTTTAAAAATTGGACAAAATGTTTATATTTTTTTTCCTTATTAAATTAAGATATGCAGGCTTGGCTGCCTCGGTAACTGCGTCTTTCATGCCACCAATCAAGTTACATCCCTGAATATTAATTAGTAAGTCACTCTGTGGTTGTCTTGGGTCTGGACAACAACTATCTTCCTCTTGAAAGGGCTTCATTTATGGCAAGTTTCTTGGTGGCAACCTGGGAGCCAAGTTTCACGAGCTCAGCCAAATGTCCACTTCTTCACTGAGTGTTATTTTGAGATTAACTTCAAATGTGCAATGCTGTCAGATATTTTGAAAATCTCAGGCTGGAAAATCCATTACCAAGGTAACATTCCCCTCTGGGAATTCTAATGAGTTGGCTTAGCATGTTTTTCTTCACTTTCTCTTACCCCCTTTTAATTTCCTGAACACTGAGGCTATTCTTGATAAAGCTAAGGCCTTTGTAATTCCCAGGCTAGCAATATAAGGTACTTGAATCAAAATATAAAAACTATGAATAGGGCTGTGGAAATCTCTCTCAAATTCTCCCTCAAGATGTTTCCAAAGTTGTGAATGACAGGACCAAAATGCTCTCCTGGAAAGGGTAAAATGAGATAATTATACCGACTTGAGTTGGAAAGAGTCATATTCTAGAGCAGGGGTGGGGACCCTGCAGCCTCTAGGCCACTTGTGGCCCTTTAGGTCCTCAAGTGAGGCCCTTTGACTGAATCCAAACTTCACAGAACAAATCTCCTTAATAAAAGGATTTGTTCTGTAAAACTTGGACTTAGTCAAAAGGCCACACCCCAGGACCTGTGAGGCCACACATGTGGCCTCAAAGCTGCAGGTTCCCCACCTGGGATACTCACTGGCTGGATAGTCTGCCCACTTCCATCCTAGTTCCCTGATCTTCTCCTCTCTTTTGCTCATCTTTCCTCCTATTTTATTCATTGCACTGCTTTTTCCCTTTCGTCTAGGCATCATTGGCCTCTGTTTAGTGCATTCAAGAGAGAGGGACTAGCTGAGAAGCTGCCTGTGTTTACTATTTCTCCAGTCTCCTAGCCCTCCTAGAGAACCACAACTTTGTGAATCTTTACTTCATCTTGGTTGTGCTTCCAAACCAGTTTAATAAGTTCCTACTATGTGCTAGGCGCTGTACTAAGTGGCTGGGAATGAGAAGGCAAAGGAATACCAAGGAAGCATCTCTTCCTTTAAGGAACGATATTCTGCCAGGGGAAAATAACGTCAAAAAATAATACAAAAGATATACAACAATGTCTGGGTGAAGGTTGTGGAGGGGAACTAGCAAAGGGAAACTAGAAGAGGCAAACTAGGAAAGGTTTCCTGTAGGAAGTGGCACCTGAGCTAAGCCTTGAAAGGAGCTACAGCTTCTAAGAGATGGAGGATAGAAGAGAGGCCCTTTAGGCATGGCTGTGCAAATACACAGAGATAGGAAATGGAATTTCACCTACATGCAATTAGCCTGGAAAGAGGTTAGAGCAGGACTGTGGAAAGCTTTAGATATCACATTCTGTAGAGGAATTTCTTGAGCAGGGGAGTGAAATGGTCAGAATTGTGCAATTTGGCAGCTATGAAGTAGCTGGATGCAGTGGGGAGGGAGGAGGGGAGGGGAGGGGGAGGGTTCCATTAGGAGACTATTGTGACATGGTCCCAGTACAATGTGATAAAAGCCCTGAATTGGGAGTAATCATTAAGTGAATGAAGAGAAGGTGTTCAGGGTTTTTGGTTTGCAATGGCCACTTCAGCAGACGCTGGTCAGGTGGCAGAGGCTGCTCCCAGCTCTGTCCTCCTAGATAAATTATTACTCTATTGGGGATCTAAGGGACAGGCACCGAAACAGCTCCAGTAAGTTTATATATAAACAAATGTCCTCATTGCCTTCCTAAGAGCCACAAGATCTTGGCAGTGGGATCTGAAAGGCACATTAGGATCCTGTGGCAGCTGCAAGTGATTTATACAAGAAAAAAGACTGTCTTCTCCATCCTCCACTTCCTATTTCATTGAAACCAGGGTGAGAAAGGTGGTAGAAGGTTTATTGTCTGTTTTCTGAACTCGGTGATGAGAGCCAAGCAGTTTCATAATTGTATCAAATTTTGATTAGGCTTGGGTATGTCTACATGGGGTAGAATTTCCTTCCCATGACTCTCTGAAAAAATGCTGTAGATCTGGTTTAAACATGTATTACTTGAAGAAGGAATAGTGGTACAACTTCTTATAGCCTTTTCCCCAACAAATTATAATCCTGAAAATGGCTTTTTTATGGGTGTTTTTTCACTTAACCAATCTAGCCACCTTAGGATAGAAATGTTTGTTATAGTTCATTATGGGTAGGATATTAGTCAATCAGGAGACCTGGGGATTAGGAAGAATTTTTTTTTTTTTGGTAGAAGGGTTATCCTTCGCCACTAAACATACTTCAGATGGAATGCTTTAAAACTATCCCCATATCTCTCCTACATCAATGCAGATGTATCTTACTAAAGTATTCTGAAACACCAACTTAGTTTAAAGAAGAAAAAGCTGCTGGCTTCTCTCTCAGGTGTCAGGTATCTGACAGCTGACTGTCTGTAATTACACTCCCTTTCTAGGATTATTTGGGGGTTGGGAAGGGAGGTGGAAGATAAAGCAAAGCAATGAACTAGGTGCTGGGAGAATGCCCACGACTCTATGGCCCTGTGCATACAGGATGTCCCAAATATTGTAGTGAAGTCTTAAGGTATTAAATCTTTAGTAGAACTTTAATAATATAATAAAGGTTTTAAGTTATGAAAGCTTAAAACTATACTGAAAATTTAGAGACATGGCATTTATATATACTTTACAGTCAATTCTGAATTATCCTCAGCATCTCTTAGTCAGCTTTGCTCTGCCTTGTATTATGGTATAGACCAAGACATTGGCATCCTATGAAACTCATGACAGAGACAACAGCCACCTGATTTTTATTTCTTTGGCTATAATAGGTCCCTATGTAAAATTGAGAATCAATGGATTTCATGTTAAAAGGGACTACTGATATCATTCCGTCCCAAAGCCTCCTTTTACATATATAGAGAAGAGTGATCTGATTTTATTTTGAAGAGTGATTTCAGTTGCTGGTTCTGATGTGGAATCATTTGACAATGCTAAGAACTTTGGTGATAAGAACTTTCTTTTCCGGGTCTTCAGTAGAGATGGTTGCGGCAGATGCATGAGCAGCTGCCAGGCTACATCTCTGCAGAGGTTGCCTCCCGGGATGATGATGCAGACTCTGGGATGGAGGCATTGATCTTCCAGTGGCTTTTCGGTTTGGAGTCCTGGGCTAGGTCCACCAGGTTCTGACAGGAGATGGCAGTCAGATTGTCACTGGTGGATTGACCAGCACATGCTGCCTCCTGTCTCACCGCAAGGGAACTCTGCTTGTTGGTAGACGGGCGGGTGAGGTGGGGGTAGGGATGGGAGAGGGTTGAGAAGGAAATCTCCCTTGTCATTTATTTGCTATATTATTGGGTTACGCATCTTTTAAATGAGTCCTTTGGTTGACTCATTAAAAACAAACACATTCATTTGGATTTATGAGCTATGGTTTTGAGCGGTTGTTGACCCATAATGTCCCTTAAACTTGGTTAGCTGTCTGAGGATCTCTGCATGAAGGGGGCCCTGGGTGCTACATACTATTAGAGATACTGAGGCTTAGAGAGGCTGAGAATACCCAAGATCACACAAATACTAAATGATAAACACAAGATTCAAATCCAGGTCCTCTGACTCAAAGTACAGCACTCTGAATAATTGCAGTGTGTCTTTGCTCACTTCCTACTTCCCTTATTAGCCTCTATTCTTCCTTCCTTCCTTGGCACCTTTCTTCCAGATATGGTTCTATACGGTGGATTATGCATTTGTTTTTTAAATAGAAGGAGCACTGGCTTAAGAGTTGAAAGAACTGGGTTTGTACCTTGGCCCCTCAATGAATTCATTGTGTGAGGTTAGGTAAGTCATTTAACCGCCTTGGGTTTCATTCTGTTTGCTCCTTTACTAGGTGATGTCCATGATCCCTTTCAGTTTGGATTTCCCTTTTTGTGCTATGCTTTTCTGGACAGATCATCCCCTTAGAAACCAGCTGATGTAGGCTGAAGAAATGTAAAGGGATTGTAACAAAAAAAAACTGTCCAAAGCAGAGCATTATTATCTGGGCAAATCTTCTGCTAGAAATAATAATCCATTGCAAAAGTAGATAATTATTCATTTATTATTTTTGATTTCCCACAGTATTTATTTTTTATTATTAAGGATAGTTGAGAAGTGACTTTTACTTATTTATGCCAAGTCTCCTCCAAAGAGCTCAGATTTTTGACTTACTGGGATGAAGGGAACAGTCTGTGTTATCCAATGTAGCACTTAGTTTGTATTGTTCATTAACTATTTTCATCTTCTCTCCAAAACTAAGCTATTTATGAGATGACACCTTAGCTTTCCTCTGTATCACACCCATATGAGGCTGACTCAATAAATAATAGATGGCTGGTAATTATAGCTCACAAAATGTGTTCTCCATAGCCACCCTGTGAGGAAGTTAATGCAAGTATTACTCTTCCTATTTTACAAAATAAGAAACCAAGGAATACAGAAGCTAAATAGCTAGCCCAAGATCACATAGCCAGTTTATGTAAGAACCAGGATTTAAACCCAGGTGTCTTGACTTTGGGAAGCTGGGTGGCAAAGTGGATAGAATACTGGGCCTGGAGTCAGGAAGACTCATCTTCTTCAATTCAAATCCAGCCTCAGACACTTACTAGCTGTGGTGGGCAAGTCACTTAACCCTGTTTGCCTCAGTTTCCTCACCTGTAAAATGAGCTCGAGAAGGAAATGGTAAACCACTCCAATATCTTTGCCAAGAAAATCCCAAGTGGGGTTGCAAAGAGTTGACATGACTGAACAGCAGTGTTTTGACTCTAGGTCCAAGGAGTTCATCACACCAAGTGGCCTTCGTTAGGTCTTTGTACAAGGCATATTTTCTAGAAACTATGATGATTCCAGGTGGAACCTTGTTTTAGGGAAGCAAGCTATGGGAGAATATGACCTTACCAGGCTTTCAGCAATGGAGACTTTGAGGAACCACTTAGATCTTCTCTTTCTCCCCTGCCCCCCAAATGTTTCCTCATAGGGCTTGACTATTTCATGTCTTTTTAACAAGGAAAGCAACAATAACTGACATCTACATAACACTCTGAGGTTTGCAAAGCACTTTTATATACATTATCTCATTTGATCTTCACAACAACCCCAGGAGTTAAGTATTTTAAATATTATTATCCATCCTGGGAGAGATTCCTTATTTGGTATGAAGAGCTGGACAGGAAACCAACCGGTAAACAATTGCTTTTACTAAGCAAAGATACAAGTAAAGACAGTTTCTCTGCTTCCACAAAGAAGTGCTTAGTGACTCCTAGGTAAAAGCAGCCTGTCAGGAAGCTCTGTTACAACTGAGAAACCCACACCAACCACCAAGGTTAGGTCACCCTGGCCCCAAAGATTCCATACCTTCCGGTCTGTCTACTGTTGGGAAATTAACTCAAGGTCTGCTAGGTCTTATGTCATAGCGTCCTGGCCTATGATTACCAGCCCTATTTTACGTATGAGGTAATGAACTCTCAGAGAGGAAGGTGTTTGCCCATGGAAACAAAGCTAAGAAGTATCATGAACAGGATATAAATCTAAGTCTTCCCTAATTCCAGGTCCGTACTTTCTCTTATACCATGTTGCCATTTTCAATAAGACCATCATTGCGAAAGTTATGTATGTAACATTATATATGTATAAAGTTTACAGTAAGGATCTCTTTAAAACATATCCGTAGTAGATAATGTTCACATTAAGTATATCTTTCTAAAATGCTCATATTGTATAGTAGAAACATAACTGAACTTGGGGTCAGGAAGAACCTGGCTTCAAAACCTACTTTTGTTATGTATTAGCTTTATGACCACGAGCAAATTGACTCTCTCTCTCTTCTCTCTCTCTCTCTCTCTCTGAGCTTAGCTTCTTTATCTGTAAAATGGGTTAATAATATTTCTAATACCTATGTTATAGGGTTATGGAGGCCAAATGAGTTAATATAAATAAGTGATTTCCAAACCTTTTAAATGTTATTTAATTGTATATATGAGAAGTATGAGAGGTAACCTTGTTATATTAGACAGAGAACCAGAAATGGAATAAAACAGAATTATATTCAAATCCTACTTCTGACACATACTGGCTGTGAGACTCTGGACAACTCACTTAACTTTGTAGTGCCCCAGGCAATTCTCTGAGACTAAGTTATAGTATAGGTAGCAAACCACTGGGAGTTCCTTATACTAATGAAATCATAGATTTGGCTCAAATCTCCATCTCTCTATACTTGCACATATATATAATACATATGTATGTATATGTATGTATATATGCCAATAGATGTGGCCATGTCTCAAATACTTTTTCCCCACTCACAAATTTTCAATGCTTGCTAATTACCTCTACAATAAAATACAAAATCCTTAGTCAGATCTTTAAAGCCTTTCACATCTGGGTGGTGGTAGCCACCTACATTTTTAATCTTATTTCATATTATTCCTTTTTATACATTCTCAACTCCAGACAAACCTGCCTATTAGCTACTCTCTATATAAGATATTTCATCTCCTGCTTCCCTGCCTTAGTCCAGGTCATTCTCCCTATCTGGAATATACTCCCACTTCATTTCTGAGGAGCACTAATAGACATTAGCTTGGTCCTGTGCCTAATTAGAACAAGACACTGGATAGTTCCCTACTCATCCTTATATTATATTCATGCTTTCCACCCAACTCTAGAGGGTGTTTCAGGGAGGCTATTCATCTCTTTACACATCTCTTCACAATAGAGCCACTTTCACTATTTCCCAGTGCCAAAAAGCCTCATTAGTCTAAGGAAGTGGTTAGTATAGGTCTATCCAATCAGAAACCAAATCAAGCCCCCACACACTGGGAAGCTGTAGTTTCTTTACTAAAAACCATAGATTCAACCAAAGGAATAAAATCAGAAGCAGCCTGCATTCAAGAAAACCTGAGTTGAAATCCAGCCTCACACACTTCATAGGTGCATAACCCTGGGCAAGTCATTTAGCAAGTCATTTATCTGCCTTTTTTCTCAACTGCAAAATGGGACTAATAATAGCACCTACCTCTCAGGATTGTTGCAAAGATCAAATGAAGGCTTACCCCTGTGGGTTGACACATAGCAAGCACCTAATAAATGCTTGTTTCATTCCATTCCAGATATGTTAAAATAATTACCTTGATGTTATCTGTGCAGCTCCTCCCAGGTGCAGACAGTCCTTGATCCTTATGTAAATCATCTCCAAACCTAGAAGATAAGACATAGTTTAAGTGCCTCAATCATCCTCCAGTCACTTCCAATTAGAAGTGAGAAAATGTCCATCAAATCTGTTCTACTCATGGCTTCTAGGAAAAACTATGCCTAATCAAGGAAACTCATGATTTTGGATGACTCAAGCTATTACATGTTGTTCCTCTTCATGGGTTGCCAAAAGAATTATGGATTCTGCCTCTTTCTACCTCTCCAATAGTCTTCTGGTATGACACCTATAGACTGCACTGACTTGGATTGCTCCTTGTGGCTTGTTCAGAACTAGTAGAGGAGTAGAATATAATTGAAGACTTGGCCAGGTGTGGAGAGATTGCCGTTATCTTCTTTACCAGTCAGTTAAATAGCATTTAATAAGAGCCTTCTATTGCTTGGCACTGTGGATTGGGGATACAAAGAAAGGCAAAAGACAGCCCCTGCTCTCAAAGAGCTCACAGTCTAAGGACAGGGACAAAATGCAAGTAAGACTGCTCAAAACACAAGTCAGTGAATTATTATCAGTCCGGACTTGAAACTTCCTTACATAATCTCGGTCAACTTCAAAGTCAAGAGCTCCAATTTGTGTGTAGAATAATGAATATTTTTATAGGCAAATGTAATAGGTACCTGGTGATCACGAATATTTTGATATTACTGCTCCCAAACTTTATAGGGTAGTCTCAATGTAAAGAACAAACGGTTTAATTGGATCTACATAAAACATCACAGGTGCGTGCATGAAATGTTTGGTCAAATTTGTAAAAGCCTGCTCATATGTCTTGTCCCAAAATGTCCAAATGGTATGGAAAGAGTCAAGCCAGGTTGCTTTTTTCACCATTTGTTTTTGCTTTTTTTCTAACCATTTTCCTATGAATATGAAGGCTGAGGAGCTTAGGAATGATACATGGTTTTATATGAATTTTCCACAACACCCATCAAATCCTAGAAAAGTCTCTGGGTCATGAAAAATAAATCATAGATGGTTATTATGTTGATCATAGTTTTTTTTTTAAACAGCTTTCACAATTGTTTGTCTTTACAATGCTGATATAATTTTGTAAGTTGTTCTCTTGGTTCTGCTCATTTCATTCTTAATAAGTTTATGAAAGTCTTAAAATTACTCATTTTTGTAATGTTAATGTTGTACTATAAATTGTTCTTCCAGTTCTGCTTACTTTATTCTGTATCAATTCATAAAAGTCTCTCTATACTTTAAAAATCATCTATTTCCTCATTTCTTACAGCACAAAATTCCATCAAATGAATGTATCACAACTTATTCAGCCATTCCTTAATTTATGGGCATCCCTTTAGTTTTAAGTTTTCCTCTACCACAAAAACAAAACAACAAAATAAAAACTTTTCCCATTTTTCATCTCTTTTGGATTTAGACCTAGCATGAGTACAGCTGAGTCAAAGGGTATGCATTGTTTAGAATTTTTTTGTGTCTAATATCAATTTTTTTTTTTCCAATTTGGAGTCATGGATGGCCATTGTATTGATTATAGTTCTCAGAGCTTTCAAAGTTGTCTTTTTGAAACCATCTATTTCCTCATTTCTTACACCGATAGTATTTTATTACATTCTTGTAAACAAATGAATAATACGTTTACTATGTGCAAAGTACCATGCTAACTTCTGGGGATACAAATAGAAAAGTAAGACAGTCTCTGTGGTCAAAGAGCTCATCACATAAATCTGTAGTGGACTCAGCCATTTAAGTAGGAGTGGAAAAGGCAGATGATGGGAGTACCCAGATTTGGGGCCTAGCAAGACATGAGAGGCAAATGATTCAAGAGTGGAGGATTGTGGATTGTTGAACCGGTTAAATAAGGAGTCAAGACTAAAAAGGATCAAAGTGAGACCAGTGCAAGGGGAATGGACTGGCAGAACAAGGAGGGGTAAAGGAACTTGAGGTCATGAAAAGAATGACAGATTGTTCTAGGTTTGAGGCAAAGGGATAGATAAAAGGATAGGAAGGCAAACAAATGGAGGAATTTCACAGTTCTAGACTATGGAGGCCACTTGCCTGGGTCCACGTGAAATACGTCATCAATTGAAAAGTAGGGTAAGAATCGCTTTCTATGGTGTCCCCAGAGTCACCCGTATTAGACTACAGATACTGAAGCTGCCAGAGATGGAGCAGAGGAATTGCGAAGCAGAACAAAGAAGGACTAGGGAGGGATTCAACACCCAAGCCTTTATCTGGGAGCTTTCTATTTTAATGAATTATTCTTGCTAACTATAACTTGCTAACTTGCTAATCTCATTTACTTCCATACATCTGAAGGACTGCAAATGTAAGTGCCTCCTAAATTTGGTGCCCAAGTACCTCTGCCCTGGTTAGGGCTCTGCTCATTTCTACATGAAGGTCGGGGAACAATTCTACCGCTTGATTTTCCCCTGTTATTTAAATTGTATTCCTGGCCCAGTGAAATACTTTGCTGTTTGACTTAAGGCCTGCTCTGTTGGTGGAGAATTCCTTGGACCGGAGCACAAGCCTAATAGTAGCTCCCACGTTGAACCAAAGTACTAATAAGGTTACAGAATCGAGTGGGATGTGTGTTGTAAGTAATTGTTGATAATTTTTGTTCTTTCGAAAATTGCACGTTCTTTTCCTTTGACCACTTATCTCTTGGAGTATGGCTCTTAGACTTACAAATTCGCATTAATACCTTTTGGGTTAGACTTCTTTTGGGAATATTAATGCAAGAAAAATCAGTCTGTTTCTTTCCTTCTTGTTTGGGCGCATCGTTTTTTTTTGTGTGTGTGTGTGTGTATTGCAAATCTTTTTATTTCTACATAGTATAATCAGTCTATATGGTTTATTATAATTTCCTCAAAGACATGACTGGTAAAGGATGTTTAAAATAAACTTTTTCAACCAATAAAAATCTGCCTTCTCTTCTTCCTTCCTCCAATCCCATCCCATTGAGAAAGAAAAACAAAACCTCTGTTGTAAACACCTAAGTCAAGCAAAATAAATTTCTCCATTGGCCATGTTTTTTTAAAAATCTGAATTTATATTTTAAATCTATCATCTCTCCATCAGAAGGTGGATAACATTTTTCATCATGTCTTCTGGAAGCTCGGCTGGTCATTGTGTTGATCAGAGTTTTTAAGTCTTTCAAAACTGTTTGTCTTTACAATATTTTTGTTGTTGTAAAAATTGTTTTCCTGGGGGCAGCTAGGTGGTGCAGTGAATAGAACACTGGCTCTGGAATCAGGAGGACCTGAGTTCAAATGTGACCTCAGACACTTGATAATTACTAGGTGTGTGACCCTGGGCAAGTCACTTAACCCCAACTGCCTTGAAAAAAAAAGTTTTTCTGGTTGTGTTCACTTCACTTTGAATCAATTCACACATGTCTTCCCAGGTTTTACTAGTGATTAGTCATTTAGAGCATTTAAAAATATGGCTATTGATAAATTGGATTTTTTTTCCCTCTGAAACTACCTAATTCTATCTTTTGACCATTTATCAATTACTGTTGATATCAAATATCATTTATCAATTATCAAAAATTAAGGAGTGGCTCTTATTTTTACAAATTTGGATACATTCCATGGATATATAGATATATAGATAGATCTTAGAAATGAGATTTTTATCAGAGAAAATTGCTGCAAAGATCTTTTTTCCTTTACCTGATTTTCTTCTAATTTTTGCTGTAATGGTTTTGTTGGTGCATTCACAATTATAATTATTAATTGTGTATATCCCTCCATCCTATTCTTTTTTTAAAAAAAATTTTCCTCCATCCTATTCTAATTTTCTTTATTTCCCACTCTGTCTTAAAAGAGGAGTGTAGTTCTCTAGTTTTTCTGCAATATGCTGCTCCCCTGCCACTCTTCTCTTTCCCTCACCCAGAGCCCAGTCACAGGTCCTCATCCTTTCTTTTAAACTCTGTTTCAAGATTCATTTTCCTTTGTTAGAGTTTGTTTTGCTTATGACTAATCCTTTCCTTAATCCACCTTCTTATTCTTCCCTTCTCTTTTTTCTCCCTTTTCCTCTTATTTTTCTTTTGAATGAAATGTATTTCTGAACCCAACGGTGTGTATATGCACTCACATGTATATTCCCTCCTTTAAATAGTTCAGATGAGAATGAGGTTCAAATGTTGTCCATTTTCCTCACTGCTTTCTTAGTCTTCTACTCCATTATGTAAGATAATTTTTCTCATTAATCTTCTTCCTTCCCTCTTTCCCCTGCCCCAACATATTCCTTTTCCTCTCCCTTCCCATTCATCTTTTAATGTCATTAACAACCACTCACAGGCCCTCTGTCTTATGAGATTCTCTCTATGACTCCTGATGGTGGTTGAGTTCTGAAAGGATATATGGATCATCTCCCCATATTAGAATATAAATGTTTTATCCTTGTTTAGTCCTTTGTGATTGTTTGCTCATATTTACCTTTTTTTATGTTCCTTTTGATTCCTTTGTTTGACACTGAGATCAAAGTTATGACTATTCATGTGTGGAATGAAGTGGAATGAAGGTGTAAAGGTCATGGGAGTTGAGGGGGTTGATATACTGGGAAGCAGGTGTATTTGAAATAATATCAATATACATTACAGTATTTAAATATGAGAATAGGGGTTGGAGAGGAGCCAAAGACAGTAAGCTGGGACCTACATTCCTTGAGAAAGGTTACATAATGACATGGAGATGGTCAATGTGAAATAAAAAGCCAGATTGGATGATAAAGATGCATAAAGCAAAACTCAAAGGAAGAGAAGTTGCTGAGTGACACAAGCGGCAGGAGAATCTGAAAGTGTCAGTGATGAACAAAAAGTGTACCTACTTTTCCTTTTGGCCCAATGTGTTTAGGAGGTAAGGGGAGGAATGAGAGAAGAGTCATTTAAAACTAGAAAGAGTGTCCAGGGATGCAGTACCTGCTATGGGAAGCCAGCTTTCTGTGAGCACAAGAAGTAGGAAAAAGTGAGAGGAGAAGACCACTTGGTAATAAAGTGAAGTTTGCTAATAGAATGAAGGCACAGCAGTATAGGGATTTGGGAGGGGTAGGGTTTAGGTGGATTGGGATTTCAGAACTGGAACAGCTGGGAACTGAATCATTAGGATTAAAAGAGGAGGAGGTAAGAATTAGCATGCCACTCCTAAAATGGGGAAGTAGAAGAAAGAGACCAAGGTGTGGTTTAGACTTCAGACTGAGTCTAATATGAGTTCAAGATTCTTTTTATTTTTAATGATCTGTGTATATCAGGCTTGCTGGGTGCTCAGAGGTAAGGGGGAGTGAGCTGCAGAGGCAATCCACAGAGGGGGTAGGGTTTTACAATGTTATCACTTTCCTTTTCTGTTATAGGGAGAAGGAAGAGAAATATGTCAAAGTTAGGTGTTATAAAGGGAGGAAAGCCTTACAGGCCATAGAAGAAAGAGCCCTCCTTCTGATTGTGTAACATCCCAAGCTAAAGCAGGTATTGTTGGTTTCTCTTTTAAGCCCTTTGAGAAGGACAACCAAACCTTTCCATGCCCCATCCTATCCCACTGAGACTACAACTCCAATTCTGTTGGAAATGCTACTGTA